ATGGAAAGGACAGATCTGCCCTTAGTATTTATATAACAAATAGAACAAAATAAAGCTGAAATAAATAACAACTGAAATAACAGATTGACCACCAGTTAACCCTAGGATGACTAGAACACATTCTACCCTACGAACACAGTGGGACCATAGCTGTGGGGCCCACATCAGTGTTCTCTACAGTGTGTATTTAGAGGAACTGTTGGGAAGATATTCCAGGCATATTGTGTTCTATAAGCAGAGAACATTCTGATTGTCTTGCAGCTTTATTGCTCCTTTAATGGCTACAAGTGGCATACATCTTTGGATATACCAGATTACAAGTTTGAGGGGGTTCTCAAGTAGTGGTAGATACATCATAGGGAGGCTTGGTCACCAACCTCGGGTGAATATCTTTTCTTAGGGTGCCAAATATCACAGCTAGTGGTATAGAGACTGCTCCAAAAATACTGTGGGCCTTCTAATGCGGGGTGGGAATAATGAGTTTGTATAGTAAATGAAGTTTCTTTTTGCATTTGCATTTTCTTTATCATTTAATAGATTCTCTTTGACTTGTTACTGACCAAAAGAAAGAGGGAAATAAATTCGGGAATATGCATGTATTACAGACCTTGAAAATGCCAGTCTAGTTCATTGGTTCATTGTTATCTTCAGCACAATCCCTTTCGAGATGCTGGGGCATGTTACGTTAATATGATTCTGGTTGCTGTTGTTGATCATTTTGGGTCTATGAGGTCTATATATTTACAGTTCATACATGTGCTTCATTTCCCTTGTGGATTGGTCCTCGTGAAATGATTTTGTGTTAGCATACTGGTACATATCAAACCATGGTGTTTTTTAATTCCATTATGTCCTACAGATTGCTACTGATGTAGCTGCTCGAGGATTGGATATTCCGGATGTAGAGGTGGTGATCAACTATAGCTTTCCTCTCACTACTGAGGATTATGTCCACAGGATAGGGAGGACTGGTCGGGCGGGTAAGAAGGGTGTCGCTCACACCTTCTTCATGCAGGAAAACAAGGTGATATTTGAATTATGCTTAGCTTCTCGTTTTTAACTCCAATTTTATACTATTTGGAACTTTCTTTGAGTTTTTGACTTGCTTTCTTATACAAATTAATATGTTTCATTCCAGGGCCTTGCTGGTGAGCTGGTAAATGTCCTCAGAGAAGCTGGGCAGATAGTGCCTGCTGCCCTCATGAAGTTTGGCACTCATGTTAAGAAAAAGGTGTGCATCTGTCAATTTCTCTCTTTTCCATTTTACTAGGAAATCAATTGAATGTGAAAAAAAGTGAAACAGATTTGTAAGCACAGACCTGTTTTTGCAAATCATTCTTAGTTAACCTAGAACTATGCACAAAAAGAAAAGGAAACATTTCTAACCCAAAAGTATTATTGAAATATGTTGATTATAGTCATGGTTTGTGTACTTGATGGAATAATAGAGTGGAGGGACGGGTAATGTTGGTTTTGACAAGAAACCACAAATTAGCTATATTCCTTGGAAAATTTCTTGACTAAAATAGGGGCATCTCATACCTACATGATTTTTCTCATAATTTTTCTTTGTTGACACATCAGCACTGTAATATATAGACTAAAAATGTAGGTGTGTTTGCTTACTGAATGGACAGAAGTGTAAATCCTAGAAGAGATATGAAGGGAAAAAATGCCATACAATGAATAAGATATAAAAAGGGTGTAACAGATTTTTTTCCCCTTTTTGTGGGGGAGGGTGGAGTTGGGATGTCTGAGCAAAAGTTCTTACTTGTTTTCTAATAGGCAAAGGGTTACACCAACAAAAATGGGTCGCAGACATGCCTGCATGTCAACATTTTATCTGTTCCAGCCAAATAAATTTTAATTGTTATTTTTTCTATGCTTTTAAACCTGTGTAGAATTTTTTTGAGTAGATAACTTGTTTGTTTTTTGAGTACATAAAGTTTAGATATATCTGTTCTGGAAAAAAATTTAGTGATCTTGTTTTCTAACTTTTATAGAAGATTTATGGGTTATATTTTTGTGTTTTTCAAAGTGTCCTAACTCCTAATTCTGAAAAATAGTACCAAGCAAATATTTTCTACAAGCCTTGTCCTTTTCTATCTAGATGTTATTTGTAAAATCCTTAAGAAGCCCTTTCCACAATCACAAGGTAGAAATCACAGATCATCTTAAAATTTATACATACACCATTAAAACATTCCAAAATACAGATATTACACTTCTGAGTAATGACAATTCTGTATTATAGACTGAACATAAGGTGTATATGAAGCAATATACGAAGAGGAAATAATTCATAAAAAAAAAACGAAGAGGAAATATATGAAGCTACATGAAAAAAAGACATGGACATCCTTCTGATACAAAAATTAACAAGGTAAAGAGTTATTGCAATCCAAAAGAGCTCTTAACACCCCATTGTTTTGCTAGGCCATCAGCTACATGAAAAAAAAGACATTTGGCAATTCTTCCTGTTGGTAGGCTGCAAAATTGAAAACCTTTGCTCCTCTATGTTCCTTTTCCATGATAGACTGCAGTTCTGGCAACAATGGTAATTCATCCTTGGCCAGAGTTACTGTAAAGGCTTAGATGATGATGATCATGGTATGTGGAAAGTAGGCTTGACATCTTAAGGAATAAAAAAGAAGAGAAAATAAAATTATTGAGAAATGCAAATTAGAATCAGATTTAGATAAATTGCCACAAGACAACAGGAATTTTCATAAACATCTTTTATGGGAGTAAAAACTCTTGAATCTTGTGATAAATCGATTTGTGTTCTTATTTGTCATGTTGATTTATTTTATGTTCACGAGCCCCTACTTGTGTATGTATTACTTACAGCTCACTAAATATTTTGAACATTCTGAAACAGTCCAATGATGTAAACCTGTTCCTGCTGGGTTTTATCAATGTTTGCATTTGCTGAATGAATTTGGTGATGGATATATGCTATCCCACCTTGAGTCTCCATTTATTTGCTACTCTGATGTCCCTTATATTGTACTGTAGGAATCCAAGTTATATGGTGCACATTTCAAAGAAATTGCAGCTGATGCCCCCAAATCCACAAAGATTAAATTTGACAATTCAGATGAGGAAGATTGAYTCCTGAATTACAATAAAGTTTCATTAGGACAGTTTTCTTCAGATAACAATGAGTGGTTTCCATATAATGAGACACACTGCCTTCGTTTGGTCATACATCTCCAATGGTGATACTCTGGAGATGAGATTCATTTTGGTAGGTTCTACACGAGTGAACAGAACAGGGAATTTTTCATGAAGGTGACATGCTGGTACGCACTCGAGTTGTGAATGTCCAACAACTATGAGTTCATGGTTCAGTTTTTCTTCTGGCTGACCAATTTTTACAAGCTCTATAGTATATGATGGCAGCATGGTTCTTGGGTAGTTTTTTCAGTCTGACTTCTTAATTTTTTAACATTTTATAGCCAGCAGTAACCAGTAAGCAGTCGTACTAAAACAATGTATGTATTTATTCAGCAATGTCCATTTTTGAATCAGTCTGGAATACTTGAATAGTTAAAACTTATGATTTCACTGGGTGGTAATGCTTTCTCATATGCTGATGTAGTGATGTTCATTTAGTGAAAGGCTGGGGATTCTAAATTCCAGGCTCCATGCAGTGAAAAATGATGGTCATTTGGTACAGGCCTTGTTTATCACGAGGCGCGTTATAGGCTTGCTACCACGTCACTCTGTTACCTTGGTGCCAAATTCGTTTTATGGTTTTATACTTTTATATTAAATTGAGTTTCCAATTCAATTTAATAAACTAATAATTTCAAGTTCGGTTCGAATTCGGATTTGCTCCTCACTGAGTGCATCTCACACCAACCCGCAGCCGTGCATTGGGAATATCTTATATCTCTCCATAAATGATAAAAAGTTAAATTTAAAACATGAACTGCATATTGTGCATAGGAAAATAGATTTGTTTAAATTCCAAATCTCAGACAGGTTTAAATTAAGGCAAAGTTTATCATCCAATGCACTTTGCAACAAAAGAAATGATCGGTCGAACATGATGGTAGGTACAATAAAAGATATGATTGGTAGAATATGATGGTAAATGCATTAAATGTAAAATTATATTTGAACTAATGAAAAATAAATAGACTTCAAGTAATTGGTTGAGATCTTCATTTAGTGGTGAATCTGTGAATGTACTATAGTTGAATTCTTAAATTAAAATTCTAAATAAGGTTTCATAGTAAATACATACATTATCGTATAATTGTATATAATAAAATCCAATTTTAGCTAATAAAAATAGTAATATCAGAACTCAATTTGGTCAATAAATGGTCGTCATTTTCAAATTCAATCATTGCAACATAGATATCCAAATCTGCCTTAAACAAAGTATATTTGAAGTTGAATCAGATTAAATCCGATTCATTTCCAATCCCATCATCAGGGACTATATATATATATATATATATATATTTTCTTTTTTGAAATTTTTATTTTTTTATTCCATGTCATTTTTGAAACAACCAATGAGATATATTTTCCCAAAACCTAAATAATCTATTCTCCTAAAATTTCTCGTAAACTATCCCCTACATTCTACAAAATTATCTCTAATTTCTATTTATCTTCTAAATTATCCCTAATTCCTATTTATCTCCAAAAGTATCTCTATTAGGGCTGTTCATAAGAATGCCCAACCCGACCAAACCGATCAACCCGGACTGATCCAACCCGAGTCGGCCAGGTTTTCATCAGTACCGATCGGTTTCGGGTTGGGCAAATATATAAACCGATATATTGGGTCGGTTTCGATTTTCTTGTGTGAAAACCGAAACCAACCCGACCCTTACTAGTTCGGTAGTTCTTAGTTTGAGTAGTTTCCTACTTAACTATAACTAGTCTTCTACTAGAACTAGAAAGCCCATTAGGCAATTACAATTAGAATAGGCAATCTATCACAGTTTCTAACTTTCTATAGTCTTTTACACCAAATAGGCAACACATTAGGCAATTACAATTAGAATTCAATTAGGTGTCCTTTTGTACAGGAGCAAAACCGAAACCGACCGAAACCGACCCAATCCGAATCAAACCGACATAGTCGGTTTGGCCTATCAGTGGGTCGGTTTCGGTTTCCACCTCAGGTAACCCGACTAGGTCGGGTCAGTTGGGAAAACCCCAATAAACCAACCCAACTCAACTCGTGAACACCCCTAATCTCTAATTTAGTAGAGAGTTTTTCTCCCAAATTATCTCTAGAAAATTTGGATTAAAAAATTTAAGAATTATTTAAATATTCTAGCAAAATTATAAAATAACTTTAAAATATTTATTAAAAACAAAAAATAATTTAATACTTTTACAAAATGTATCACGGAATTATGTACTAACAATTTCAATTATGTTTTTCTAGATTGTCAGTTTAAATGTTTTTCAAATATGTAATAATATGTAATATCTTTAAATAAATAAATTCAAATAACAAAAAAATTTAAATATTTATCATAACTAGACTTTAAATAGTTAAAATAACAGAATTATGTAATAAATTTAAAAAATTCCTTTAAAGTAGAAAAATAATTATAACATAATATTGAAATTAATAATAATTTAATATATTACAAAATTAATAATGAAATTTTGTAATAATAGTATAAATTATGATTGTATGAATAATTAAATTCAATAAATAATTAATATTTCAAAATTTAAATATTTTACATTTTATTTAAGTATTTAAATAACTAAATATTTTAAATAACAAAATATTTAACATAACTAGATTATAAATAGTCAAAATAAATAAATTATGTAATAAATTTAAAAAAAATTCTGAGAAGTATAAAAATAATTATTACATAATATTGAAATTAATAATAATTTAATATTTTTACATAATATTGTAAATAACTAATTTAACTTATATCAAGTAATAATTCGAGAAAATAACTTTCAAAAAATTAATATTTATTACTAATAATTTTAAACTCTTAATCTGTATTTATTAAATAAATATATATACTAAAATTAATATTTATTTTATTTTAGTAATTATTTATTGTTTTTGTGATAAATGTATTTTCAATGATTATGTATAAATTTATTTTATTTTGTTATTTAATAAAAAACTTTCAATAATTATTGAAGATTAAACTACTATTGTTGAGTTTTTAAATTTATTTTATTGAACTTATTGTATTTTTGTTATAACTTACTATTTATATAATTAATATTTATTAGAGATTAAACTATTATTTGAGATTATAATATATTTTTACTAAGTTAATATATTTTTAGTACTTATTGTATTTTTTATTATCAATATATTTTCAATAATTGTGTATTTTCGCTATAAATTTTCAATAATTATTGGAGATTAAACTATTGTTATTTATCGGAGATAAGACTATTAATTTATCTAAAATTATAAGTATTCTTGCGTTGGTTTGGTTCGATCGTAGGCTATTTGGCCAACCAAATTGACCTAGTTAGGTAAGGTTGGGGAGTTGGTTAGCTGAAACCGACTTACCTTTTGTGAAAACCGACCAACTCAAGTTGTATCGGTTAAGGACAATTTTCACAAAAGGTCAATTGGTTCAAAAGATTTCAACTTAAAAATTAAAATAAATTTAAAAAATTACAGTGCAATTATTGAAAACTAAATTAAAAAAATAAATTTATGAAATAAAACATTTTAGACTAAGAAATATGGGAAACTTCTCACTTTTTCATATTAAAAATATAAAATATTAATATATATCTATCTGTAGGTCATCGTTTTTGGTCAGTTTACAAATAACCAAAGTGAAACTGATCCAACTTGGTCAAATTGGGAATTTTTTGAACCAAAGCCAGCATAAAATACTAGAAAACCACCAATTTGGGTCGAGTTGATCGGGTTGGTCAGTTTTATCAATTTGATGAATAAGCCTAACTAAAATTAATTAATGTTATCTTTGTATTATAAAAAAAATATTAAAAGTAGTATAGTAAATATGAATAATTATTAATTATTTAAAAAGTTGAAAATATAAAACAATTGTATATCTTATGTGTTTCTATTAGGGCCATTTATTAGAACACACCTTATAGTTTTACATATTTACTTAAGCCTACCTTATAGTTTTCATTTTACTAAAACATCCCATACATTTTACAACTTATTTACTTAATCAACCTTTCATTAAGGAGTGTTTGTTTTGCCATTAGGCCCATGATTTTTTATTCCAAAAATACGCTTAACACTTTTTTCGTATAGAAAACAAAATTAACCAAATAAAGCCAATAGAGTGGCTGCCYGTGTCTTATTTATCGGAGATAAGACTATTAATTTATCTAAAATTATGAGTATTCATGAGTTGGTTTGGTTCGATCGTAGGCTATTTGGCCTACCAAATTGACCTAGTTAGGTAAGGTTGGGGAGTTGGTTAGCTGAAACCGACTTACCTTTTGTAAAAACCGACCCACTTAAGTTGTATCGGTTAGGGACAATTTTCACAAAAGGTCAATTGGTTCAAAAGATTTCATGGGTGTTTGACACCATAGAATTTCACGAGTAGGTTCCATTTCTTTTGTTTGTTTGAAAAACACAAAAAAAAAGTCAAGATACAGGTTGATTGGGAATTTAATGTGATTTGGTTTATTATTATAACATATTTACAATGACAATTGTTTGACATCTTAAAAAAAAAATCAGCTTTTTCAAAATTCAATGTGCCATGCAAGGTTCAAAATATCGATACACCCGATATGCCGGTAGAGGCGTATTGGTAGTTTTTTTTAGGTTTTACGTATTTTTTTTGAAACCGGTTCAGAGGGGTTGGTTTAAGGCCCCGTCTACCCTTTGAACTAGTGGGTGACCCAATATAACCCCTGGAGGGGCGTATCAAGAAGCCATCAGCACGATACATATTGATACTTTGAAGTTTGAACCTTGGTGCCATGTCGCCTTAGTGATTCAAGATCACCAAGGCAATTCAAGAATAGTCAATCTAATGATTCGAGAAACCCCTCCTTTCCCATCCTGTTTTTTTTTTTTATTTTTATTTTTATTTATTTTTAAACATACTATCAAAATGTAATTTTCTTACTAATTCCATTGACATGAATGATACATCAACAAAATTGGAATGCTTGTGAAACACTCCAATGCCAAACACCTACCAAGAGAGGGTAATGCTCTATTTAATTGGGAGACCAAAAAGGATTTCCCCGCATGAAGCAAATTTGAGCTTCAAAGCAATTGTGAAGTGCTTGAAGCTTGATCGGATGATTCGGCTAAATATCAACTTTTTTACATTTATAAGTAAATTACTTAAACCTTCCCCATGAACTTTGATCTCTCCAAAAAGCTCCCCTGACATTTGGGGTAAATATCAGCAACCTGCGATTGGGTTTCTGACAAGAGGGTTGGAAGGCTCAAGCTTGGCGGGAATTGTTGAGAAGAAAGAGTACAGTTACTCCAAGAAAGAAGTGGTTGAAGAAGGGTATTAGTTCTTAGTTAGAAGAGAGAAAATGATTTTCTAACAAAATGGAAAATGCGGGGAGATTTATCAGAAACGTCAGGGGTGATTTAGGAAATTTACCCAAATTTCTATTTCTATTTGTACACGAGGAATTTTACGCGGTTAAGATTTTCTTTCCATTTAAGTAAGTAATTTCCGGGTTTCTTGTAAATGAAAATGGGTTTTCCAAATTCAATTAGAACTTTGGGGTTTGGACAGCCTCTGGACTCTGGGGTGTATATATTAAGGTTTCAATCCCTCTCTGCAGATTTCGCCTTTTTCTTGTAAGTTTTTCTGATGATCTATATGTTGTCTCTCTGTTATTAGTGGTGTTTAGCCCTGCTTGAATCTGCTCTTCGTTTCCGCTCCTCTGTTGTTAAAAGTTTTGTCCGTTTTAGTGAAGTGTTCAAATTTGGAAGCTTTCATATTACTAGTCTTTTAATTATCTTGAAAGGTTTCAAGTTCAAGATGATTAGCCATATTCGCCTGGATCGAAGCCTGCTTGAACAATCCAAGGAAATGGACTACTCGAAGTTTAGACAGCAACTGAAAGAATCTATCAGGAGGAAGATGAAAAGGGAATCTGCTTCGGCCGATGCTTGTGCAAGAGACGATGGCTATGGATCCTTCTTTGGATCGTCTGAGATTGTTGCTTCTGAAAGAGTAGTCCAGGAGATCAGCATATTGTTGAAAACCCAGAATTCTTCATCCAAGTCTGGTGCAGTGGGAAAGCCTGGAGATTCAGTACGTGAGATCTACTTAATGTTGAAAAGCCAGAATTCTTCATCCAAGTCGGGGGATTCAGGACGTAAGACCAAACCACCCCAAATCGTTCCTCGCCTGAATACGAAGGTGCAGACGCTCAAGCGTACGCGGGACTATTCTTTTCTGTTCTCTGATGATGATACTTCTGCAGCCCAGTTTCCGTCCGAGAAGCGCTGCAGTTCAGTTTCCTGTGGTGGTGGAAGAGGAGAAACTGCTGCTGTTACAGTTCCAGGCCGTGTGCAGTCGTCAGTTGAAAGGCAAGAAAACAAGACTAAGGTGATATCGAAAAACCCAGTTTCTTCTCCAAAGCCTCGGATGAAAACCCCCAAGCAAAACCCAACTCTTCCTGCAATGCAAGAGCACCGTCGGACGAAGAAGCCTCCGAGAAACATTCCGATGAAGACGGTGAAGATTGTCATCGGGCTATCACGATGATCAGAAAGATGTTTGGCTACAACCCCAATAAATATTCTACGTTCGATGATGATGATGATAGAGACATGGAAACTAGTTTCAGAGACATCCAGAAGGAGGAGAAGAGAAGTGAGAGAATCGGAAAGAAAGAGGATGCAGAAGAGCTTCTTCGAATCCAAAAAGAAGAGAGAAAGGAGAGGTTGAAACGTGAATCAAAGAAGAGCAGGCTAAGCAAGCAATAAACCGAAAATGAAAACCTTAGAATGGTGTTTGATTTTCTTTTAGTTTGACAAGAATCATTGAATCAATATGTTGCTACAGAATCTTTCAATCTGATGACACAATAAAATAATGCTAATTGTCGTTACTTGGGATGATTATTGTTTAATATTACGGCTGTGTTTGGTTTAAAGGACAAAAGTAGGGAAAGAAACCCTACATTTTCCTTTCTTTCCCTACCCTTTCCCTTCAAACCAAACATAGCCTAATATTAGAACAGTTTCTCAATTAAATTGGTTGTGGCATTATTTGAATTACTTGCATTTGCATTCAACTAGTAGTCACGACTTTATGTCTCCAATTCTTGTTGAAATCTCTAAAACTAAAGCATTATGATGCATGGAGAAAAGAGGCGGTTTAGATTTCAAGGACTGTGAATGAAAGAAGCTAATTAACATGTGTCTCCAATGGACATACTAGGAACTCAACCTATTAAGGTGGTGGTGATCGGTACAATTGCCGCTTTTTAGAAAATGGTGCCATGTAAGAGCCACGTCAGATTTTGAGAAATGCCACCTCACCCATATTCATAAATCCCCAAAATGCTCAGCGTTAATTTCCCTTTCCTCTTCCACTCTCTGACTCTCATCTTCCTTTTCACCTCCTTCGAAAGTTAGAATGCATTCGTCGAAAAGTCTACAGCGCAGCGCCTTCGATCCTCTTCACTGGCGCACACCAACGGAAGTGGAGATATCTCCCTATTCCTCCAGTTGACTCCCAGCTTCATTTTCATGTCCATTGAACATCCTGAAAATACACCCACTTTGCTGAAAAATCTACACTGCATTTGATCTTCTTCACCGACCCACACCGATGGAAGAGGAGATATATCCCTTCCTTCCTTTGATGTATCTTTTGCACCGGACCCAGTCGTACAACGAGCGTAGAAGTGTGAGCTGTTGTAACTCGAAATAGAGGTATTTGAAATTTCTGCCACATAGKATTTATGTTGAATTCATTTAAAATATTAGTTGGAATCTGATGTAACCGTTTCTGGTCATTTTTTTGTGATGTATYAATTTTTTGGCTAAGTACCTCGTCATCTCGTCTGCTCCCAAGTGGTTTGTGTCTCAGATGCTGAAGTGGAGCTCCCTGGTGGCGAGCTACCCAGTGGTGAATTGCCTGGTGCCGAGCTGCCTGGTGGTGAGCTACTTTGATGAGCTGCTTGGAGGTGAGCTACTTTGATGAACTGCCTAGTGGTGAGCTACCTTTATGAGCTGCCTGGAGGTGAGCTACCTTGATGAGCTGCCTGGTGATGAGCTACTTTGATGAGCTGGTTGGAGGTGAGCTACCTTGATGAGCTACCTTGAGCTCTGTTGCTCTTTTAGAGGCTTGCAAGGAACCAAATGTCAGAGGACCCGGGGGTGTTTACCCGGCGAGGTCACTCTGATGGCTAAGTTAGCACTTAGTAAAGAGAGCTTGAAGAATGATATTAGAGAATGAGAGAGCTAGAGAGCAAGGGTTACCACCTCTTCCTTCAGCCTCTTGGCCTTTTGGCCTTTTAGCATACCTTTGCCCCATGGGGGTGAGATCTTTATATACTAGAGTCCTCGTGGGTTAGGTGGAGCAGTTCCTGGATTCCCGCTGTGATGTGACTTGTTGCGTGTTAGGTGGATGAAATGCCGTCAAACGGTAATACTGTCCATTCCCGTTAGAACGAGAAGTTGGTGAGCTAATATAGCCGTTACAAGTCACAATCCCGTAAAATGCGGGGTACGGTAGTGAGCTCCTTGAGGTTGTCAGGTTGGCGCCTGTGTCAGGCCGCCGGGTCGGTTCCTGGGCTAGGCCGCCAGCTCATGCCAGGGCCAGGTCGCGTTAGGGCCAGGCTGCCAGCTCGTGCCAGGGCCAGGTCGCACTAGGGCCAGGCTGCCAGATCGTGCCAGGGCCAAGTCGCGCTAGGGACAGACTGCCAGCTCATGCCAGGGCCAGGTCGCGCCAGGACTAGGCTGCCAGCTCGTGCCAAGGCCAGGCCACGCCTGATGGGACACCATCGACTTAGCAAAGACAGGTTGTTGTCTGGGTGTCACCTAGTTGTTTTGAGGTGCCAGGCTACAAGATGGCGAGCTGCCTGTAAGTGCTGCAAGGTGGCGAGCTGCCTGTAGCGAATTGCTTGTGGCGAGTTGCCTAGTTGTCAAGAGGCTGCACTTAATTGTCAAGAGGCTGCACTTATTTGGCATGAGATGTCAGATGTCACAATGTCATTGGAGGGCCAAATCTGCCCTCATCAGATTCGAATATATGTTCTACGTTTGATTTTTCGCGTGRATTATGCATCTGCTCATGCGTTAATGAAATGAATTGATTGTTCAACCAAGTGGTGTTCGCCCAATGTTATATTGTTCATATTTCTTTCTTCTATTAAATTCTTGTCCAAGGAAGCTAACGTGGAATGCTAGTGAATTCTTTCTTCTATTGAAGTTTTAATGACTAATTTAAGTGGCTCAAATGGAATGAATTATGAAATTTTCATTGACCATATGACCCCAGGCACATGAGTTCTGAAATTTAAGCTAGTTAATGGCAACCACTATCACTACTTTGTTTGGAATTTCTCTATGTGCCTTATCCATAATATGAATTTGTCTAACAATAAAAACCATTTTTAYAATTGAATTTATATTTTTCTTATTCTAAGCTATAACAAATGATAATATAGGGGTATTTATATGAATTTGCATTATTTTACTCTAACCTATGGGAAAATGTGTTCATATATCTTGTGTAATGGTGTTGGAATTTATTTGTACATTGCATGACATTGTTTATTATATATGCATTAGCGTAGTTCGATTGCTATGGTTAATGGATTTGCTTAGAAGTGTGAATTTATTTTGTATATTCCTATTTATAGTATCTAACGCGTGGTTGATTATATGTTCATGGTGTTCAAATGTTATGTGGTTTGAGTTATACGGTGGAAGATGACTCTTGCATTTCAAGTATTTGTTTCAGGCATTCGATCTACATGGTACCAGTTCAAAGTGGATTGTTCGTTGAAATATTTTTGGTATTACGTAAATTACAACTACGAGTTTTCAGTCAATAGGAGGTTGCTCTCTCCACAACCTTTTTTTTCTTTGCATGTGAATAGGGGAATCCACCAATTCATAGGCAGTTGAACGCAAGTTAGATAGAAGCACGCATTGATGGTGATGGTAATTTTTTGTTGGGCAATTCCCATTGGTGAACACGTTCTTAAGTTGGAGAGAGTGGTTTCGGAGTGTCACAAACAGATGGGTCTATGGTGTCGTCTCAAAACCTATTGGTGAAAGAAATGAACACAATAAGGTCTATAGTTATTTCCTGTGTCGTTGTATTTCTATTTTCTTATATATTTATGTAGTGTTTATGCATTTTTTTTTGTCGAACTTAAATTTTGAACATGTAGTAAGATATATGGGTAATGTATTTTGTTTTATTCATTTTTCTTGTGGTAAACAAATATATGGGTAATAATCCATTCTCTAGCTTTTAGTGTTAGGGGATGCAGTAAGTTCAACGGCCAATAATTTCAATTGAACCTAAAAACAAATTGTTATGCAAACATCCTATAATTTTAAAATTTCAATGGGTGGTGGATAACCTTTGGAAACCTATTTTTCTTTGTACTTACCTTTAGAGGTGTCTCTATTGACAACCTCACCTTTATATCTTCTGTTTAGCACCTTGTAAGTAAGAGAAGAGGAAGAGTGTTAATTGATGCTATAGCTATAAGTAAAAATTAGCTTTACGTAAGAAGATGAGATTGGTGAAATGCCAATTTTGTAGGACTGAGGCATACATTGCATGAGCTTTTGCGAATGCATACCCTTTGAATGTTGGGATAGTGGAGGAGGGTACTCTTTGGGTCAGTAACATAGCAATATGTCATTTGTATTAATCGATGTCATTGTTTTTGAGTAAGTGAACCACAAAATACTTCCAATCATGTTTGCACGACGGATGAGAAGAAATTGAATCGATGTCGTTGGGTGTAGCAGAACTTGAGTTTAATAAAGCTATAGCGATGAAACTAGAAATTTTGTGTGCCCATTTGCGGTGACCCATCCAACTTGTAGGTATAAACCCAAGTTGACTCAAGCACTGATGACAACCACAGAATCAGATTCCCGATTAGAATTTTTTATAAATCTAGTTTCCCTTCCACTTAATCATGATCACCTCCATTGTTTCTAAGGGAAAAACGGAATGATAGATAGGGTTAAGCTAACATGATCGCTGCAATCTCGTGATGACGGAACCAATGATGGCAGCGGATGGCGTTCGCATATAGAACTTTATATTTTATATACGTCTAGCTTCAACTTAATCCTATTCTTTGCCATGGATTCACTCTCAATGCTTCCTATATAATATTGGGATGGTAAGGGTGTTTATTTTTAGGGGTGTTCATTATATGGTTCAAACCATAAAACCGAACTGAACCAAATTGAATTTGCGGTTTGGTTTGATTTCACAAATTTATAAAAATGTGGTTTATGATTTATGATTTGGTTTGTTAAATTTTATAAACCATACCAAACCAAACCATAAATCGTATTAAGATAAATATATAATATAATATATTGTTGAAAAGTAAAAAAAAAAAGGTGTGCCAGTCGGTGGCTCACCAAATTTACAATCGGTGGCCCACCGAGCTGAGCCTACCATATTGAACGGTGGCACACTATTTTTGTTGTTTACTTAACGTTGAAGAAAATTATTAAAAGACCCCATTATACCCCTCAGCTCAAATATAAATA